TGTATGCTTTATAAATTGTATACAAACAGTAGTAAAGCTTGGTAAATTTGAAATTGGACATAAATAGGATACCTCTAAAAAATCCCCCCCCTCTTCCCCCCCCCCAACACCAGAACAATAATAATAACCCCCTCAAAAAAAGAAAAAGAAAAAGAAAACAATGACCTCCTCTCCCCATCCCAAATAACCAACAACCCACAACAAAACCGCATCTTTCTTCTTTTCTACTCCACAGTTGACTTCAGATTCATGAACGGCGTCAAATTTTACCATGAATTTTCAACACTGGCGAAACTTAGGGGAGGCAGATTGCCATACGTGTGAAACTGAAGGTGCAGTTACAATACTTTAAAAACTCACGGTATTTCATGTTTACGTTCTTGATAGTTTCTTCGTTTATGTTATAGAGAATTTGTTTAATGTTTTACAAGCATGAGGATTCATTATCACAATCGTACAACCCATCAACGTTGGAGACGATGGAATTTTGAGTGGCGGCAGCAAACTATGCTGTAAGCAACATTTTTCTGTTGGTTGCAGTAGTACATGCATCATTCTTTAAGATATGACACTGAATCTTTACAACTTAAAAACTGTCTTTGTGCTGAACTCAAATAATACTAATTTAGTTCTGATATAAAATTGATGACAAGAGGTATTTCTCAACGTTAAAGCATAATAGCTTAAAGATTAACTACTTAAAGATAGTATAATAAATAAGTATACTTTCAAATAAACATGGACAGCATACATGGACGGTATATTATAATTATACAGTACACTGTAGGCAAGAAAACAATGACCTCCTCCCCCCACCCCAAAAAACCAACAACCCACAACAAAACCGCATCTTTCTTCTTTTCTACTCCGCAGTTGACTTCAGATTCATGAACGGCGTCAAATTTTACCATGAATTTTCAACACTGGCGAAACTTAGGGGAGGCAGATTGCCATACGTGTGAAACTGAAGGTGCAGTTACAATACTTTAAAAACTCACGGTATTTCATGTTTACGTTCTTGATAGTTTCTTCGTTTATGTTATAGAGAATTTGTTTAATGTTTTACAAGCATGAGGATTCATTATCACAATCGTACAACCCATCAACGTTGGAGACGATGGAATTTTGAGTGGCGGCAGCAAACTATGCTGTAAGCAACATTTTTCTGTTGGTTGCAGTAGTACATGCATCATTCTTTAAGATATGACACTGAATCTTTACAACTTAAAAACTGTCTTTGTGCTGAACTCAAATAATACTAATTTAGTTCTGATATAAAATTGATGACAAGAGGTATTTCTCAACGTTAAAGCATAATAGCTTAAAGATTAACTACTTAAAGATAGTATAATAAATAAGTATACTTTCAAATAAACATGGACAGCATACATGGACGGTATATTATAATTATACAGTACACTGTAGGCAAGAAAACAATGACCTCCTCCCCCCACCCCAAAAAACCAACAACCCACAACAAAACCGCATCTTTCTTCTTTTCTACTCCGCAGTTGACTTCAGATTCATGAACGGCGTCAAATTTTACCATGAATTTGATTGGGAACCCCCACCCCCCCAACCCCCGTTTGATGTTAAATAAAAGCTCTGTACGAAAAAATATCTTCCCCATCCTGTGTCGATTGTGTTAACTAACCAGGCAATAATTCATTCAGTGGCGATGTCCTCATGTGTTACTGCACCGTGTGTTGGATAAAGATAATTCCAGGACGAAGTTCGAGGCAAAACAAGCTGTTTAGCTGGCACCCATTGATTCGTGTATAACTTTGAGGCCCAATTAAATCGTACAAATCGTCTTAAGCTTATTCCAAACTTTGTCACCACGGATTTAATTTGGGTTATGCATACGTTAGCCTTTACAATTAGTTAAGAAAGATAGGTTTTAAGCCACAGCCGTGTGTTGCCCACCATCAGTTTAAGAAAAGAAGAAAGACTTTATAATGTCGTATTGACTCAGTTGCAGTATAGACCAGTAGAACATTATGTTTAACAAGGAATTAGATCTACACCCTCTCCCCAAAACAAACAAACAAAACAAACAAAACAAACAAAAACAAAACAGTAATGCAGCATCCAGTCTGTTGACGAGTCGACCTCAAAAAGCTCACAACCAAAATAATTATTATTTTGTTTCGTGTTCTCCTCTCAGATCTTCCCCGCCCCACATCATAACAGCGCCAAGAGTACAAGGAAGAAACCACGCCAGACCCCACCCCCACGCCCCCTCCTATGTCCTCCACCTCCACCACCCCCACCACAGAAGCTAACGACTACTCAAGCCAAATGGGGTCAGCGGAGGCACCTCTAGAGGGCGCCATCCTCACGGTCATCTGTCTCACGGCCATCACAGCCAATGTATCTCTCTGGTTGGTTGTTCTCACCACACGTGACCTGCGCACGGAGTCCAATGTGCTCATCCTGTCCCTGTCCTTCGCTGACCTCCTGGTCTCTACAGTGAGCATGCCCATAACGGTGGCCACGATTCTCACGGCTCGATGGCAGTTCTCGCAGTAAGTTCGTTAGTGTGTTGGATTACGTTAAGATAGATCTAAGAAAGTTGGCTAGTTTCGTCTGAGGCAGGCGATCGTCAATAGCTATCTTTGTTGTTGCTGCTGCTATTGTTGTTGTTGTTGTTGTTGTTGTTGTCGTTGTTGTTGTTGTTCTTCTTCTTCTTCTTCTTCTTCTTCTTTTTCTTCTTCTTCATCTTCTGTTCTTTGTCTTCCTCTTTTCAGCTAGATCTACAGTTTTAGTTTTTTTTTTTGCTTTAGTAAAAGTTTAACGACACTTGCGACATAAACAGGTATTATAAGTGCCGAAGATTTTAGATGAAAATACAACACTGTTAATTACATTTAAGAGTCGGGACCTTCGAGTTTAACGTCCATCACCGAAAAGACCAATTAAAAAATTCGTGTAAAGTGTCTTTCCCAAGGACACAACGTTGGACTGAACTGAGGCTTGAACCCCCGAACCTGCAATCTCACAATTATGAGTCCGGTAGCCTAACCACTGGGCCAAGGCTACAGACGCCACCTTAGATTTGAAGGGTCACTACAGAGTAAGATACAATGAAAGAAGGAGGAGAGATAAGGACAATAGAACAGGAAAGAAAGAGCTAATCGAACCGGAGCACCCGCCTACCTCCCACCAGTGAACAGCTTTAAAGTTTGTTGTTGGTGTTGTTTGTGCGCGTTAAGGGAGCGGTGGCGGAGCGGTTAGTGCGCTCGTCTCCAAAGCGGAAAGTCCGGGTTCGAGCCTCGTTTCGGACATCCATTTTTTTCGCCCCATCCTGCCCACCCAGCAGTAATGGACTTCGAGTTGGGGAGGTAAAGGCGGAGTGGAAAGGAACTGGCCACCCTACCACAATATGCCGAAGGCCCAGGAAGTTGTCTCACTAACAACGCAATCCCCAATGTCGGGATCGGATGCGGGAACAACTTTACTTTTATTTTTACTCGCGTAAACAGGGTCGTTCATGGCGGGTTCGTCCTATGACTGAGAGACACACTCACACGCTGATAGTTAGAGAACGTTAGGAGTACGCAATTGGCCGATATATATAGTAACAGCCAGCTTGTTTGACCTATTCTTTAATATGTATAATATAATGAGCATTATCATAACACTTTGCCAAAAATGAAAAAAAAGCTTTCTTTCTTTTACTCCACATTTTTTTTCCAGATCAGACAGTGAGACAGTAGGTCTGGAACTCCCCCCCTCTCTCTCTCTCTCTCTCTCT